GCAAGCACTCTACCACTGAGCCACATTCCCAGCCCCGTAACTTTTTTCTTGATGGAGGTTAAGATCACTTATGTTTTGCTCTAGCTTGATTATTTTTAAAATCTAAGGAATCACCTAAGACACATAAAATCTTAGGACATTTTTATGTCTATAGAGAAAAAGTACTATTAAACAAAAGCATGCTGCTGTCACAGAACGAGGACTACAACGTCCATATGTACATTTAAGAAATGATTGTTCTTAGGCAAAATATTACCATTGCTATTTCCATATGTAATCCTACAAACAGTCTGCTCACCTTTCAAAACCATCTCACTATAGGAATCCTAAACTGTTTTTTACTGCAGTAGTTCATATTGCATTGCCCAACTTTACTTTGGGATCATGTGGCATACTAAAGAAAGGCCATATTAAAAATATAGCCCAAATTAATCAAGTTTATGCGATTCTAAGTGATATAACAGTTATCGTAGCCCTCCGACCCACCCACCCCCAAAAAAAGAAGAGGCATCAGAAAACAAGCAATTTTTCTTTTTGGATAAAACTAATTCTTGTTAAGTAGAAAGAAGATGAACTATAAAAAGGATGTTTGCCTCAAACTCTTCTCTTGTATGTTAATCTACAAAAACTGAGAAATTTAGCAGGTATAATTCATACCTGTAATCCCAGCATTCAGGAGCCTGTGGCAGAACAATTGTGAGTTTAAGGCTAGTCTTAGATCACACAGTGAGACCTATACAAAGGAAGGGAGGAGGGGGGACATGTATTTTCAAATGGAATTTCTTAAACATATCCAATTATATTATAATCATGTCTAATTTTGGGGAAAAATGTTAAAAATCAAGAACAGAGAACAAAGATGTAAAAAAAATGTTTTTGTTTAGGGCTGGAGCATAGCTCAAGCATTACAACAGTTGCCTAACAAGTGTGAAGCCCTCTGATTTCAATCTCATGTACAGCAGGGGGGAAAAAAGTTTTTTTAAGCCAGGAGCCAGTGGTTCAAGCCTGTAATCCTAGTTACTCAGGAGGCTGAGATCTGAGGATCATGGCTCAAAGTCAGCCCTGGCAGTTAAGTCCATAAAGACTTTTTTTTTTTGGGGGGGGGTCTGGTCATGGGGCTTGAACTCTGGGCCTGGGCGCTGTCCCTGAGCTCTTCAGCTCAAGGTGAGCACTCTATCACTTGAGCCACAGCGCCACTTCCAGCTTTTTTCTTATGTGGTGCTGAGGAATCGAACCCAGGGCCTCGAGCATGCAAGGCTCTACCACTGAGCCACCTTTCCAGCCCCTCCATGAAGACTTTTATCTCCAATTAACCACCAGAAACTAGAAGTGGCACTGTGGCTCAAGCGATAGAGTGCTCACCTTGAGCTGAAGAGCTCAGGGACAGCGCCCAGGCCCAGAGTTCAAGCCCCACGACCAAAAAAAAAAAGAAAAAAAAAGTTTTCATATCCAATAATCTTAACACTTCAAGTTACTTCACAGGAAAATAAATCAAGGCCATGGTAATTCTATTGTAAATAACAACTGTTGATTCTAAGCTGCCTCTTTAGTAGAGATCACACGTAAGTAATTAAAAGAGAACAACCACTAGCCGGGCACCGGTGGCTCACGCCTGTAATCCTAGCTACTGAGGAGGCTGAGATCTGAGGATCATGGTTCAAAACCAGCCCAGGCAGAAAAGTCGTGAGACTCTTATCTCCAATAAACCACTAGAAAACTGGAAGTGGCACTGTGGCTCAAGCGGTAGAGTGCTCGCCTTGAGCTGAAGAGTGCAGGGACAGTGCCCAGACCCAGAGTTCAAGCCCAATGACCGACACAAAAAAAGCTGAACAACCACTGAAATGTCAAATCAGTGAGAAATCAATATATTAGGTTATTGCCGGTTATTTGCAATTCTAAAGAATATTCTTGACACTATTCTAAAATGTGTACTAAGCAATACTTGGTTTCATGACAAAACAACTGGAATGTTAAGCAAGGCGAAGCAATGAAGTTAAATATTCATAGTCCACAGCTGTCTGGCAATAGTCTGTTTCATCAAGGCTTATACACTACTAGAAAATTGCCATGCTCATCAGAAAGGTTGGTTCTTGCTCTCTCATTACTTTTAAGTTTTACCAGACATTACTTATTCATCAGTCCACACTCAAGTAACTGAGTAGTTCAGTGGAAGATGGTCAAACAGGACTGTGAGGTCGGAGAATGGCCCACTATGGGATATGATAAAAAAAATTTTAAATCACCTTAAAGGGATGTAGAAAAGTTGCTTCTGCTCAAACTGTAAGTGAATTCTACAATGTACACATTTTCCAACAATTGCTAAGCCAGTTCTTTAAAACACACAAAACAAAAATTTACTCTACTGTGACATACTGTTTTCCATTAATTACATTTTTAGACATATTCAACATTAAGTGACACAGCATAAAGGTTTATAAATTAATTGCTTCAACGATCATTAGCAGATCAATTACTATGAAACTTTTGTTTTAGGGGATTGCAGTCATCACAGTGAGGTTAGATGAAGTTACTGGGCAAGTGACACCTGGATACAAAAAGAAAAGCAAAGAAGCTAGTGAATAAGCACACTTTTAATCAGCCTGAGGATAATATACTAAAGGGAGACTAGATGCATGAGATTTCTTAGAGGACACCTGTGGTTGTCCAGTGGGTCCCTGGAGTTTCCGCAAAGGCTGCAGTTCCAGGTGTACATTTGCACTTTATGGAACTAACAGCCCCACTCACAACAGAACTTATAATGTATTGTATACTTAATGCATAATAGGATGGAGAAATTAGATCTTTCCTACATTTTTCAGTTACTAGTGACTTTCTCTGATATTTTTGTAAGTGTTCAAGTGAGATCTCTGCTAGTGAAGAATTCTGAGTCTTGGGAATCAATAGTCCTTTCCCACTTGGGTATTTACAACTTAATGCCCTAAAATCTAGCAGTTGCAAAAGGTGACAATAAAGAATACAGGTGAGTTGAAAATATTTGAACTGTTTACCACTTTTCAGTCTTTATAAAATTCCCTAACTACCACCTACACTACTCTCTCATTTCTAAACTTCTATTATAATTAGCTCAACTTCAAAAGGTAAACATTTGTATGTTCTCTAATTACTTCCTGTGTAGTTTCCCACCTTAACTGAGACTGCCAAGAATCATATTCTTAGATTACACATTATTTCCAGCTTTGACTAAGGACTCAATAGGTAATGCTGCTTTACACAAGCAAGAAAGTAAAATGTTATAGAATTTAAAACATATACAGAAGCCTGGTGTCAGTGGCTCACACTTGTAACTCTAGCTACTCAGGGGAGGCTGACAACTGAGGATTGTGGTTCCAAGCCAGACCAGGTAGGGAAGTCCATGAGACTCACCTCCAATAAGTCACTGAAAAAGCTGGAAGTAGAGCAGTGGCTCAAGTGGTAGAGCACTAGCTTTGAGCAAAAAAACAAAAGCAAAAACACTCTCAGGGACAGTACCCAGGACCAGAGTGCAAGGACCCAAAAATAAAACAAACAACTCATTTACAGAGGATTTAGTTCAGTGATCTAGCATGGATGGAATATTAAAACGATAACTAAATATTCTTTTTCATGTAAGAAAACAAAACCAGATGATAATTTATAGAGCCCAATAGCAAGAATACTAACTTCTGGATAAAATGATTCCCCTAACAGAAGAAAAGATAGCATGGATTGAACAGAAGACAGACTCTGGGTCTCAAGTGTGAATTGCCCATACTAGCTATGACCTGACCAAAGTCATGAATTCCACCCTTCTTCTTATTTATCAAATGAAAATATACATTTTATAGGATTCATAGGAGGACTTAAGGAAACAATACTCATAAAGTACATAACACGTCAGTTGCTCAAAATTACTTCCTTGTTCTCCCCTCATTTGCCACTGTTTTTTTCTTCTCTAGTTCCTTCCTAGGATCAAATTAAAAAAAGTATTCCTCTCATTTTGTTTTTCTCATTACTTTTCATCCTATCTCCCTGTATTTCTTCTATGCTCAGTGTATATTGTTCTTTTCATTTTCCATCTTTTAAAACTCTTTTTGAAACTGTTACTTATAGGAAGTAACTTATAGGAAGTAACTATTTTTAAGTATCCTGACTGACCACATTTAACCTATTTAATGACACCACTCCCTTGAAGAGCAAAGTAACTTGCAGCAGAAATAAAGCAAACTAAGCAAGCATGCTCCTTATGTGGATTAAGTTCATGAGCAAGGCAATACTCTTATTTACTCTTCCACTGGACAATCATAACCTCCCACACAGTCTACTCTATCAAACCCAAGATAATAACACTCTTCTCTCAAGATACTCTCTACATCTTGTATTCTACAGTCATCATTATATCTAAGTTGGATGACTGCATTATGCCCAGTCTCTTATTTAAATCATATACGTGGGCAATCCACAGTAACTTAAGTTGAAAAAGTCACTTTTGTTTCTCATAGATAGGCCAGTGCTGAGCACATAAAAAAAGAACTACACCCTCTCACTTACAAACATGCTGCCTCAGATTCTCAAGATATGTTTTATGAAGAAAAGCTAGTGGGTAAGAGGATGAGAGAGTCCTAAAGGGAAAGTTCTTGACTTCATTTTTTTGATTTGGGCTTTAGCTTTTAGTGTGCTGAGGATTAAAGAAGGGTCCAGCACAGCACAAATCTGAGCATACCCAGGCTGCTTACCCTGTGCCTCCCTAAAGTTTTAGATTTCTGACCTTAACTACTACCAATAAGTGTTTACTCTCCATTGTACCCTTGATAGTCTATAGCTCTGTTCCTCAGATTGTAAGTATGCTATCCAAGTTCTGAGACATAACGGAGGAATTAAAGTGTAAGTCACTTCCTCAATAAATTAGGAGCTGCTAGTTAAGCCTCGAAAGTCTGTTAAAAACACCAAAGTGGTATTATTCAGCCACCAATCTGAAGAGGGAACTTTGACTCAAGGTATAAATGAAACTGTAATTATATAAATATATTTATAAATATTTATACAATTATATACTTATACATAGCACTTACACAGACAGAAAAAAAAGAACATTAATTCAAAAGGACTCACTGAAGAATAACAACTTTCCATGATTTCCTTGAGAAGATATATAATCCATTCTTCAGAAAGGATCCTCAAAAATCCAGCCATTAAAAACTGTATTGTGTACAAGCAATACACAGCATCTTTTTTTTGTTTTTTTAATCCCCTACTTGCCAAGAGAACAATCTTAAAGTAGATGGAAACTTAAAGGTCTCTGAGCAGTAATTCATGTTCCTTAAATATTAGAATTAATCTAAATCCCCAACTGACAAAATAAGTCATTTAGATTATTTTAATGGTTGCATAAGTTAGAAGTTCTGATTTTGTCACCAGATCACTATTACCTCATTAGAGTACTTAAAAGCTCAAGGTAAAACTGAGCGTATAGTGATGCTGACAAGTTAAAAGCATTATACATATTCAAGATGGCCTTTTTGAAATAATACTGAAAAGAGCATTCACCAACTACTATTTGAATGTGGCTTTTGTTGGCAGAAACCCCCTGCAACATCTGAAGATTACTAGTAATTCTCAACCCCCCACCCTCTTACTAGCTATTGCCTTATGAGCTGACTTTAAAGGTCTTCCCCTCAGAGACTTTCAGTTTTGATTTCTTCCGAAAGAAAACTGTGAGGATCAAAATCCATCAGTCACTAGAGCCTTTCAGTAATTATTCCAACCAGGGGTAAAAAAATGAATCACTTCTAACCAAGGGACATGGTTGGCAACTCTCAGCTGCATGTTTTTCTTCTTCCTCTGGGACACACATAAGTATGCTATAAGCACATAGGACAATCAATAGCCACAGTGGTTACAATCACAAGCCATTGTACTGCATGATTATCGAACAGCTGCCTTCCTACAGATCACTGTAGACCCAGACAACGAGGAGCTAAAGGAACTAATATGCTGCACTGGCAAAAACAGCAAGCACCTCCCTACACCAATCACATTATGCTCACTAAATGTGTACTCTAGGACTAGCAGGATCAATATACTTAATAGAGTAATAATGAAGAAAGCTCTCTCAAGCTAGGACATTGAAAGCCGCCCCATGCTACACATCCTTCACTGAGCACTCACTCTGCCAATGACACATATTAAGGAAATAACTCTTGTAACTTCAATATAGGAATCCTCTGGGATAAAGACTGAATATGGTGAGCAATAATTATAAGGGAGGTATTTTCCATGTAAATGAAAGCCTAAATATTTTGTCAGAAGATATTTTCCTACTGTGTTGAAAGAATTTCTTTTCCCAACTACAAATGGGAGCTTACAGAAAAGGGGCTTGTTTTTATTCTGAATCTGGACAGTTTTCTTGTCAAAGAGTCTGAACGCATTATCATCTGATCCCAAAGTGCCGTGCAAATGACCTCTTCATGGGACGCATTTCCTGCTGCCAGTACTAGGGAAGATCTTATCCTTACACTTCCATTTGGTCACCAGATTAGGGAAGAAAGAAAGAGGGAAAAAGAAGAAAATTGAAGGCAAGAGAAAAGGAGGAAAAAGTAATGGGGGAGAAAGAGACTGAGTATAGACAAGAACAAGGAGTAAGAGAAGGCAGGTGACTTGCTTGCCCAACTTTGGCTCTATGGTCCTATGAGCCAAAATGCATTACTTAGTAACATGGTATCTCACGAGAAAAGGGAAAAAAGGGGTAAGCTGAGAGAGGTCAGGCCATGATGTTAATTTCTTTCTTGTACAAAGACAGTCTCTTGAGGACAAAGGCCAGCCTCCTGTAATGTAATATCATAGTCCAGGTGAGATAGTTTTCTTCGAGGGAAGTTGGTGAGTAGTTCAAAGCGTTCATTTGGATATCCTTTAGATTGGACATGCTTTACCAACGCCTGTAAGAAACAAGAGACAGATATAACATCATTATAAATAAAAGGTAACAGCACATTCATGAATGGATATATAATACCACTTTATCATATTAGATGGAATACAAAGCATTATTCTTTCAGATATCCAAAGATTATTCTTAAGGGCCAAGATAAATCTATATCCAACAGCTTCCAGTGATACTGAATTATTACTGACTCTGCAATATGCAAGCAAATTCAAATTTATAAAATATTGTACCACATTTAAACATTTGATTAGGTTTCCTTCCTAACTTCATCAGGGAAAGATATGGTTTTCATTCTATCTATGGCCAGTCCAAAGACTTCCTTACAGTCTTTGCAGAAACCATATCACTGCAGAATAACCCATTAAAATTTCTTCAATGTTCCTCTATATAGATGCTTACTATCATACTTAAACATGCTCAGTCTCCTCAACCATTATTTTTCTTCTATCTATTGCTCATTCTTCCATCCAGCTTTCCAATCAAACTTCTCAAAAGAATGGTCTATATAGTAGTGCTCATATCTCTGCAAGACAGGTCCCAAGATTCCCAGCTAATGTCTGAAAGCAAACAGTATATCCTGTATGTAGTATTTATGTGTGTGTACGAAGTTATGTATACATAACTTTTTGTACATATATATCTACAATAAAGTCTAACTTATCATAGAGACACAGGAGATGATAAAGAATAATAATAAAACAGAAAATATACTGTAATAAAATTACTAGTATTATTGCTCTTAAGCTTTGGAACCATTAAGTAAAACAAAGATACTAAATAATTACTGACATTACAAGTATTTTTTATTTGTTTTTTTTTTTTTTTGGGTCCAGTCATGGGGCCTGAACTCTGGGACTGGGCACTGTCCCTCAGCTCTTCAGCTCAAGGCTAGCGCTCTACCACTTGAGCCACAGCACCACTTCCGGCTTTTTTCTTTTTGCTTATGTGGTGCTCGGGAATCGAACCCAGGGCCTCAGACATGCAAGGCAAGCGCTCTACCACTGAGCCACCTTCCCAGCCCCAAGTATAAGTATTTTTTAAACCTAATTATTTTGTTTTTTAAAATAAGGGTTACTTGAAAACAAGCACTACGATACTATTAACAGTTGGTCTGAAAATCAAGATGCCTAGTAACTCACAGTTAGGTAGCACATATAACCCGGACAAAGGAATGATTCATGTGACTCAGAATGGTATGTAATTTAAAACTTATGAATTATAGTTTAATGAATTATTTAATGTTTTTAGAACACAACTGACCATGCTAACTAAAAGGGTACATAAAGGAGGACCTACTGTACTTGCTCTCTCCTTAATCTCCTCTCTATTTTCTTCCAAACACTAAGACAGGAAGACAGAATAGGTTACTAGCACCAGAGGCCAGATCTAGTCACACAGTCTTCAAGAATCAGGCAAGAAGCCAGGCGCCAGTGGCTCCACGCCTGTAATCCTAGCTACTCAGGAGGCTGAGATATGAGGATCACGGTTCAAAATCAACCCTGGGCAGGAAAGACCGTGAGACTCCTATCTCCAATAAACCACCAGAAAACCAGAAGTGGTGCTGTAGCTCAAGTGGTAGAGCGCTCGCTTTGAGCTGAAGAGCTGAGGGACAGCGCCCAGTCCCAGAGTTCAAGCCCCACCGACAACAACAACAACAACAACAACAACCAGGCAAGTAAAACAAAACACCAGAATTTAGGTTCAGGGAATGGTTCAACTGTAGAACACTTGTCTAGCAACCACAAGGCTTTGAGTTCAAGCCCCAGTACTAAAAAAATAAACAAACAAACAAATAAACAAACAAAAACCCCAAAGAATCAGTTAAAGTACTTCTAGCCATAATGAATAGTAGGATATAGATGACTGACAAAAAGAGGGTTTTATTAATAGGCTAAGCAAAGCTAGTTACACTCATTCTTTTCCAGAGGGAAAGCTGTGGGTTTTAGATGAAAAGAACCTGAGCATCACCATGATGGATCATGCCATGTGCAAACTGAGAAGTAAACCAAGCCACCAGCTTACAGAGAGAGGAGAAGCACATTTAGTAGAGTCAAAAGGAGAAAACTTCACAACTTTCAGCAGGGAGATGGCCTTTATTCTTAACCACTTTGCAGTAAAAATACTTAGGAAACCCAAACTCTCTCTCCCTCTGTAGTCATCAAATAACCCCACTCCTTTGTCAGAAGTAGTAATTTCAACTGGGTTTATATTCCATAGTTACAGAATAGAAAAGCTTTCACTGGTCCATGACTTGCCTAAGAGAAGGAAATACACTAATTACAAATAAGATTCACCACAATCAAGTTTCCAGTTACATACTGGAGCTTACACCCATAGCAAAGAACCAGGCAATGCTCACTGGACTTACTAATTATTGTTTCTCTGGACTAGCAATACAGCTCATGGTAGAGCACTTGCCTAGCATGACTAAGGCCTAGGGATGAACATCTAGCACTAACAACAAAAAAAAGAGAAAAGAGGGGCTGGGAAGCTGGCTCAGTGGTAGAGTGCTTGCCTTGCATGCATGAGGCCCTGGGTTCGATTCCTCAGCACCACATAAGCAAAAAAGAAAAAAGCCGGAAGTGGTGCTGTGGCTCAAGTGGTAGAGCGCTAGCCTTGAGCTGAAGAGCTGAGGGATAGTGCCCAGGCCCAGAGTTCAGGCCCCATGACTGGACCCAAAAAAAAAAAAGAGAAAAAAGAAAACAAATTTCTCTCTGCTTTCACTAAATGCTTCAAAGGAGATACACTTACTAGCAGTTTAGCTTGTTCTGGAAGAGTGATCTGCTCCCTTTTTCCATCTGGGTACCGCAACATCAGCTGTGCTTTTGGTCCTAAGGGAAGATAATAGTAACAATAATAAAAGATAGAAGAGTTCAAGACAGATTAATTTAAATAGGTAAATCAAGTAATTCAGTAATATCCAAGTTTCAAGTAAAAGGAGTCTATTCTGTAACCCACCATTTACATCTACCCCCTCCACTATTCCATCTGATTTTTCAGGTGACATCTCCAGGATCTCTGTATCCACAGCTGTCAATACTTGGTGGTTAGTGGCTGTTCCGGGGTCAACTCTGGCTGGGGGCTCAGTCAGTGGCCTTCTGTTCTCTTCTTTTCTATGCCCCAAATCTTTGTGGGGAGACTTTCTGGATTTGGCAAGATTCTCTATCTCCTCTTCTTCATCAGAACCACAAACAGATATGAACTCCTCACTGCCAGAAAAAAGTTCAGATTCAGATTCTTCATCTGAACGGCTATCCTGTTTTGTCTGTGTTGAATCGAAATGTGTCTCTTGCAAGGAGGCTCTGATGGCAGCTTCTAGCTGGCTGTCTTCACTGGCATCTATAAGGCTCTCCTGTGAGATGCAGTCATAAAACACAGGCAGAAAGAAATCAGTTAAACCAAAAAAAAAAATCAAGGCAAAAAGGATAAAAATCATAGTAATCTATTTTTCATTATTGTTTTCCATTGAAAAAAAATTTTTTTGCCAGTCCTGGGGCTTGAACTCAGGGCCTGGGCACCATCTCTGAGTTTCTTTTTGCTCAAGGCTAGCACTCTACCATTTGAGCCATAGTGCCACTTCTGGATTTTTCTGTTTATATGGTACTGAGGAATCAAACCCAGAGCTTCATAATGCTAGGCAAGCAAGCACTCTACCACTAAGCCACATTTTCGGTCCTTGAAAGTATTTTTAACAGTAATTTTATGTCATCTGAGGGCAGGAACTTAGTCTTACAAAGCCAAAGTGAAATGGATTATCTTTAGAAACAAAAGTAAAAAGCTATCATAGCATCTAGCACACTGTTGTTTCAAGCATAGGCATATTTCACATGAGGATGAGCAAAACTAGGAAAACAGCTTATTCCTTTCCAAGAAAGGGAAAAATTAAACTTTTACATTATAAAGCCAAAACACTCTTAAATTGACAAACAAGCCAGGTGCTGGTGGCTCACACCTATAATCCTAGCTACACAGGAGGCTGAGATGTGAGGACTACAGTTCAAAGCCAGCCAGGTCAGGAAAGTCTATGAGACTCTCATCTCTAATTAACCACCAGAAAACTGCAAGTGGCTCTGTGGCTCAAAGTGGTAGAGCACTATCCTTGAGCAAGAGAGCTCAGGGACAACACCCAAGCCCTGAGTTCAATCCCCATGACCACCACCACCACCAACAACAACAAATGGACAAACAACAGTAAAAGATGTCTGACTTGATCATCATTCTACTTTTCTAGCAATGACTTCCTTCCTTCTTTCCTTCCTTCCTTCCTCCTCCCTCCCTCTCTCCCTCCCTCTCTCTTTCTTTCTGTCGGTCGTGGAGTCTGAACTCTGGGCCTGGGTGCTGTCCGTCAGCTGTTCAGCTCAAGGCTAGAGCTCTACCACTTGAGCCACAGAGCCACTTCTGGCTTTTTCTGTTTATGTGGTGCTAAGGATCAAACCCAGGGCCTCATGCATGTAAGGCAAGCACTTTACCACTGAGCCACCTTCCCAGCCCTCTAGCAATGATTTCTTACATACAAACCAAAATACTAGCCAGGTATCAAGTGACTTACTCTTGTAATCCTAGCTACTCAGGAGGCTGAGATATAAGGATCATGATTCAAAACCAGCCCGGGCAGAAAAAGCCTGTGAGACTCCTATATCCAATTAACTAGATGCGAAGCTGTAACAAGTGTTAGAGCTTCTTTCTTGAGCAAAAGAGCTAAAGGACAGCAACCAGGCCCCAAGTTCAAGACCCTGTACTGACACAAAAATAAACAAATAATATTTCTATACACCAAAAGAGAACAGGTGAAGAACAAAATCTGGAAAACAGTCCCATTCACAACAGCCTAAAAACTATAAAATATCTAGGTATCAACCAAAAAGCAGGAAAAAAATACCCTATAAATTCTTTTTTCTTTCTTTTTTTTTGGGTCCGGTCATGGGGCCTGAACTCGGCCTGGGCGCTGTCCCTCAGCGCTTCAGTTCAAGGCTAGCGCTCTACCACTTGAGCCACAGCGCCACTTCTGGCTTTTTTCTTTTTGCTTAGGTGGTGCTGAGGAATCGAACCCAGGGCCTCATGCATACAAGGCAAGCGCTCTACCACTGAGCCACCTTCCCAGCCCCACCCCTGTAAAGTCTTAAACAAACTAAAGACACCAGAGAAAATGTGAATGCTTTCCATTCTCATGGATCAGAAGAGTAATGTGGAAATGGCCATACTACCAAAAGTACCCTATAGACTCAATGATGGATATGTCTATCAAAATCCCAATGTCATTGCTTATAGAATTAGAAAAATCAATCCAATAATTCATATGGAACATAAAATACCCTGAATAGCACAAGCCATTCTAAGTTAAAAAATACATGCTGGAGGAATACCAGGTTTCAAATTATGTTACAGGACCTTAGTGACAAAAACAAATTGGAACAGACATAAAAATGACCGGAAGACCAAAGGAGCATTATTATTAGACCCAGGAATAAAATCACACAGCTAGAGCCACCTAATTTTTAACAAAGCAATAAAAATACATCCACTGGAGATAGGCTTCGGTGACTCATGCCTAGCTACTCAAAAAGATCACCATTCAAAGCCAGCCAGGGCAGGAAAGTCCTTGAGACTTTATCTCCAATTAACCAGCAAAGAGCCATAAGTTGAGCTGTAGATGGAGTAGTAGAGCATTAGCCTTGAGCACAAAAGTTCAGGATAGGACCCAGGCCATAAGTTAAAGCCCCAGGACTCTCTCTCTCTCTCTCTCTCTCTCTCTCCCCCCTCTCCTCTCCTTTCTCTCTCTCTCTCTCTCTCTCACACACACACAC